TTGGTTCAATTCAATTTGACTTGAAAAATAGTTTGGTCAGTTTGATTTTCTAAATTTTAGAACCCCAAAACAGACCAGCAACAACTAGGGGTGTAAGTGAACCGAGTCGGCTCGAACTCGACTCAATAATAAGCTCGCAAACTGAGCTTATTGAGTAGCGAGCTGAGCTCGTTTGTTAAACGAGCTCAAGTTCGAGCTTGACGAGACTCGACTCGTGAGCTCGCGAGCTGGCTCGACTAACTGTTAGGATTTTCTAAATTAAATAATTACAATTTTATTAAATTTAAATGTTAAAAAAAGGATAGATGACAGCAGTTGTACTCATTTTTCAAAAAGTAAAAAAAGTTAAAGCTGCAACAATAAATGTTAGAGTGCAACAGTTTCTAATTTATTTATATATATGGATATATTTCCAAAAAAAATTGCAGTCATAATGGTTCAAATCTTTTATCCAAGGGAGAAAATACAACAGAGGTCCTTTTTATCCACGGAACAAAACACAACAAATGGCTCTTCTCCGAGAAAAAAGGGGAACACCTTTGGCTGTGATCGCGTCAGCCCTCCACTGGTTTTATTGCGGCGAGCTCGAGAGCTTGCTTTTATTGTAGAGTCGAGTTTGAGCACGCCTTTTGAACTTGAGCTCAAATTCGAGCTTCTGATTTGACAAACGAGTCGAGCTCGAGTAGGCATGACTCGAGCTTGACTCAACTCATTTACAACTCTAACAACAACACAACATTATCCCACTATGTGGGGTCGGCTACATGAATATTTTTTTCTCCAGTGTGTCCTGTTAAGATTCAAATTTTTATTTAAATCCAATAAAAGGTCAATTATAATATTTTCTAACAAAGTCTTTTTAGGTTTGAATCTAGCTTTCTTAGCATAAGCAAAATGTAATACATCAACTCTTCTAATTGGGCCATTGAAAGACCAATGTTTTATGTTTTCAAACCATCTAAGGCAACTCTCTATAATTTTATCGCTCACTAGAGCTACTCCAACTTTTCATGTATACACTCGTTTCATATACTATCTCTAAGAGTGAAGCCACTCATCCACCTGAGCATCCTCATCTTTGCAACACCACTTAATTTTATGTTTCTCTATTAATGGTCAACATTTTGCAACATAAAGCATTGAAAGTCTCACCACCATCTTTTAGATTTTTCTCTTAAGTTTGAGAGGTATTTTTCTATCACACAATAAGATCAATGCATTCCTCCACTTCAACCATTCAACTTAAATTATATCCCCATCTATTTCACCATCACTTTGAACAATAGACCTGAGATATCTAAAATACGTACTCTTATTAATGACTTATGTACTCTTATTAATAACTTGATTGCTCAAAGTCGTCATCCCCCAGCTAGATCTATTATTAATAAAATTATACTCCATGTATTCGATTTTAGATCTACTCATACAAAAACCTTTAGACTCTAAGGTTAATCTCCATAATTCATGTTTTCCTTCAACTCCTCCTGTCTTATCAACAAGAAAAATATCATCATCAAAAAGCATACACCAGGGTACATCCTCTTGCAAATGTCTAGTAAGAATATCCATGACTAAAGCAAAAGGATATGGTCTTAAAGTTGATCTTTGATGTAATGCAATAAAAATAGGAAAATGATTGGTCAAATCATCTTGAGTTTGAACAGAGGTAATAGCTCTTACATACATATCCCCACTTACTTGAATATAAGCATTATTAGCTCTTTTTTTTTTCTAAAATTCTCTAGAGCACTTCTCTTGGAACTTTATCATATGTTTTTAGTAAATCAATAAATATCACATGTAGATTCTCCATATTCTCTCTATACTTGAATCCAAATTGATTTTGAGAAACATTAATATCACATCGTAACCTATGCTCAATAAAATTCTCTCAAAGTTTTAACGTATGACACATTTAACTTAATTCCTCTATACTTCGTACACTCTTGTGCATCATATTTATTCTCAAAAATAGGAATTAACACACTCCACCACTCATATGACATATTTTTAGTATTCGATTTTAGATCTACTCATACAAAAACCTTTAGACTCTAAGATTAATCTCCATAATTCTTGTTTTCCTTCAACTCCTCCAGTCTTATCAACAAGAAAATGACACATTTAACTTAATTCCTCTATACTTCGTACACTCTTGTGCATCATATTTATTCTCAAAAATAGGAATTAACACACTCCACCACTCATATGACATATTTTAGTCCTTACAATAATAGTAAAAAAAATTTAAGCAAAAAAAATTCCTTTATCTCCAAAACATTTTCACACTTCTACTGGAATATCATTAGGTCCAATAGCTTTTCGATACTTCATTTTCTTTAAAGCCTCTCTAACATCAGTTTTACAAATAAGACGAAAAAAAAATCTCTATTTTCATTTAAAGTGCTAATGTTACTTATCACAACCTTCATTGCAAACCAAATAGACCAAACCATCCAAATGCAAACCTACATGAAGGTCCAAAAATTTGACATTATCTGTAACTACAAAGTAATTTACCACCGTCCAACAACACCCAACCCCACTACATAAACTTTAGAAAGTAAATGATCAAAGGAAAAAAAAAACTATGAAAAGTAGTAAAAAATAGTTGACCAAGTCACCTTTTTGTCGTAACATGAGCAAGATGGGGAGAAGACCTATTACCAACCCATGAGGTGAGGAAAAATGATCTCTTTCCAACCCTGCCAAGAGGGAAAAAAAACTAAACCTTAGTAGCCCAAGCAAGCCTCTATAATGAGATATTTGTATAAGGCTAAGCTTCTACATCATGTTTTAAAATTACAAAATTAGAGGCCTATCTCAAGGCTTGCCTCAATGCAATTTAAAAAAAAAAAGACAATGAGGTGTATACCTGGTACTTCTCATATAAGGCTTATGCCTCAGTGAGGGATGAGGCATGCCCTAGTGCAATTTTAATGCAATTTTGAAGAGACGTAAAGCCTTAAAAATTAGAGTTAAGTAAATTGTAAAATTTCATTTACTTTGTGTATTAAATAAAACATATTTATTATACCTAAATCAAATCAAACTTGAGAAAAATCACATGGCTTTAAACTCACCCTAACACATGCACCCTATCCTCTTGCATTACTGTCATGGTTGCACCACCGCCATTGTTAGACCATCGTTGCTTCTCCTCCATTGCCTATCCTTTCGTTGTTAGAAACTCTTTTTTTTTTTAAGTATGAGAGAGGAGAGAAAGAAATTAACTACAATAATGATTCTAATAAATACTCTTCAAATGAAGAGAGTAGGGAAACTTTTGAATTCATAAATTATGACCTTAGATTACTTGTTTATGTTGAACTAGGAATGAGAGAGACTATTCATTTAGCATAGTTTGTTCTATATAGCCTTGTATGATTTTTAATGGCCTTACTATGATTTTTTTATGATTTTACTAAATATATTATTTTGATGATAATATGTGACTTATTATTTCATATTTTCCTTAATTTAATGATTTAATATAAAGGCTTACACCTCGCCCACCAAAAGAAAATGTCTCAATACCCAATTGTGCATTTTCAAACTTCTATATGATATGGAAAAAGGTCCAGCTCTAACCATTTTCAAAAACAAACAAAACTTTAAGGAAGCCCCATGGTCTAAGAGGCTCCAAAACATTAAACATAGTTCAACTAGGACCAAGATAAAATTGAAGAAGTTTGCATAATCTTCTAGAAAAGCATTAGAATCTTCTAAAGAACTCCAATACCCTTTCAGAATATTCCATAGATTTCCCTAAAAATTACAAAACTTTCAACACAACCTTCCAAAATGACCCACAAACTTTTCAGGTAACTTAGACAATATAGGGCATCGGCATGGAAACAACATTCAAAACTATATCACAACATTCATAATTAGATCTAAGCCTATATGTGTTGGTTACATCAATGGAAGGAGAAATTGAAAGTAGTAATAGATTACAAATTCAAATGGAGGAGAGAGAAGGGTGGTTGTCCACCTTTCAAGAAAACAAATAAATCCAAACAAAATTAGTAGGGCAATCTCAATAACAGAATAAAAATGATATTCCACCAAAAAGTCCTACTTTTTAAACCATGGCTAGCCATACAAATTGGGAATTTAGATAGGATTCATCTATTTCCATGTTTCAAGATTTGTTTCCTTAGATCTAACATTTGTATTAGGAATTATCTCGTAGTTTTACTATTTATTTTTGTTTGTCCCAACTCAACAATAAATATGGATTGATTTTAAGCTTTTATGCATCCAGTTAATAAAAAAACTTCTTTCTCATGCAGAGTCATCCACTATCCCTCTCCTTTCTCTTAAGCCGAGAGACTCACTCTCTAACTTTTATTTCTCTTACTAGACAAGCTCTCTAGCTCTCTTGTCCCACTGAAACTCAAGAGCATAAAGAGGTTAGTAAGAATGCAACGCATGGATGATCAAAAAGAGAAGGCCTCGAGATAAAATTACAAGGGAGAATTCTAAGGGTTTACTATATTGGTAAACCTTAAACTTCCCTCTGTTTAATAGCTAATCATTCTTTTTTAACTAATAAGTACACAATTATCATTTTCTTTTGGGCTGGCCAACGCCCAGATATCTTGAAATTTTAGTGAAGCCGTAATTTCTATCAAGAAGATAACATTGTTCTTCTTTTCTTCTTTTTCCCCTCTTTGGTAGACTACAATAAAATCTTCGGTGAATTATATTGTAGTCATTCTTAACTACAACTCCGATAAACTCTAGAATAAATATAACCCAAGAACTTCGGTCTCATTCATTGAAGAGATAGAACAACAATTTCTCTCAGCAAATTTAGATTAGAGAAAAAAAAAACCCTTCAAACTTCATCACCAAAAAAAAAAGTTGAGTTCAGAAAAATGGATAAGAAGGATGTTCAAAAGATTGGTCCCACTACAACATTCAAGGATAAATTGCAGGAAAAATAAAAACCAAAACGGAAGAACAAAGAAGAGAGGAAACGTATACAGCACCTGGCACTGCAGCTGCGTTTTTACCACATCTAACGGTGTAGTCAAAGCTGCCGCCAGCGCCCCAGCCGCTGCCCCTGCCGTGGCATGCAAAAGCAACTTCTCATCATCCGAGTTCTCAGGAGAGATTTCCATCAGCCCCCTCTTCGCAGCCTCGTATGTCGCAAAATGCACAGCCGTGAATGGTGCATTCATCAGCACCGTCGTACGGTAAGACACATAGAACGCCCGGAAGCCCTCCTCCTTCAAGACCCTTCGCACGCAATCGACGACCCCCTTGTATGGGCTGCTTCCCATCTGCAGACGCTGCTTAACGGTGTCCATTGGAGTGAAAACAGCATCGCTTGCGACCGTGGCGAGAACGCCGGCGGTGGCGTGGGCGGCAGGGTTGTTCGGATGGTCTTCGGTGAGAAGAAGGCGCTTGGAGATCTCGTAGACGGAGAAGTAGGCAGCGTGGGCAGGTCCGGCGCCAAGTCCCATAGCACCGATGCCGCGGTAGAGACCGAAGAAGCCGTCAACGCGGATGAGGGAGCGTAAAGCGTGGCGAAGGCCGGGAGGCGGGTGACAGGGGATACTGTGGGTCTGTATGCGGGTCTTGAGGGTATCGACGGGGAACATGGCTGTGTGCTCCACCAGTCCGGCGACGGATCCGGCTGCCATGTACTGCCAAAAGGCAAGTCCATCATGGGCGGTAGCGAGGTCAGCGGCGGCGGCTGCTGCCGGAGGGAGAAGGTCGGGGGGGTGGAACTTGGGGGACGCGTCGGCCATGCGAGAAGCAGGTTAGTTAGGGCAAGACTTTGACGAGACGAGTAATTCAACCCAGCCGCCACCGCCACGTTTTATTTGGTCCGGTGAACATACCCTCCTTTAAGTTCGGCCACCAATATTTTAGCGACACTTAGCATCAAGAAAAGTCGTCGACCCGGCCCGCTGTTTTTTGGGTTCTAATACGTGCGTTTTTTTAAATCCTTGACGAGCCGAACAACATCCCATCACCTTTTGGATATATTTTAAATACCATACAAATACCGAGTTGTACCTAGTTTTTTCTAGCAATAGCGAGCAAATACCTAGCAATACCGAGCAAATCCCTAACAATACCGAGCAAATCCTGAGCAAATACTGAGTTGTACCGAATTGTACCAAGTTGTATCTAGTTTTTTCTAGCAATACCGAGCAAATACCTAGCAATACCGAGCAAATCCCTAGCAATACCGAGCAAATCCTGAGCAAATACTGAGTTGTACCGAGTTGTACCTAGTTTTTTCTAGCAATACCGAGCAAATACCTAGCAATACCGAGAAAATCCCTAGCAATACCGAGCAAATCCTGAGCAAATACCGAGTTGTACTAAGTTGTACCGAGTTTTTTCTAACAATAACGAGCAAATACCTAGCAATACCGAGCAAATCCCTAGCAATACCGAGTAAACCCTGAGCAAATACCGAGTTGTACCGAGTTGTAGAAAAACTCGGTACAACTCGGTATTTGTATAGTTTTGGTCTTCACATAGCGGTATTTCTCCTTTTATCAAAGCAATACCGAGCAAATACCGAGCAATACTGAGAAAATCGCGAACATAGCTGTTGCGTCCTGGAGTATTCGCGGCGGTAGAGAAATATTTAGTTTAACGTCTTAGCATTGTACGAAGATCCAGCACACAAGCAGATAAGTGAGAGGGTGTAGCATTCATAAGAGACACCAAAGTTTTTACGTGGAAAACCCCTAAAAAGGGGGAAAAACCACGGGGCCTGGCCCAGTTTGAATGAATCCACTAGTATTTGCAGTCGATTACAAATGAGGCCCTTCCTTAGGAGAAGGCCTTGGATTGATGTAGCAAATCTACATCATATAGATTGCATTATATGGTAGGAATTACATATACATGTTTGTCTGGTCGGAAGGACCGTAGTCGGCAGGAGACCGGAGTCAGAAAGACCGTTGCCTGTTGATGGAGGTCCACCAACTGAACCGGTCATAAAACCGTTCGGTCTATTTTTAAAACCTATTTTGTGGTGAATCGGTCCGATGAACCGACCTATTAAATTATTCAAATAATTAAATAAATTAATTTAATATATTTGTAATAAATATTAACTTAAATTTTAATATTCCCAAAAGAATCACCAAAACTATGAGGGCTTTGAAAGGAACTTTTATTACATCCTCTGACCGAACGTAGAATCCTCTGACCGGACATAGCTCTACGTTCGGTCAGAGGATTGTTACTCGGTTTTTGCTCGGTATTTGGTCGGTATTGCTAGGTATTGTTTGGTCATAACGAGGAATACCGCTCTGTGAAGACCAATACCGAGTAATCCCAAAAAATACCGAGTTTTTCTAGAAACAATATTGCTCGGTATTTTGTCTTCACATAATGGTATTTCTCGTTATTGTTGGTATTTCTCGGCATTTCTCGTTTTATGCCTGCGATCTTAATGCCGGCCGAACGTACCTCTACGTACGTTCACCGGACCAAATAAAAGTTCAATGCGTTGTCACAAAGTATAGGAAAAAACCTAAATTAGAATTAATGGATAGAAAACTATAAATATACATAAAAAAGATTTTCTTTAAATAAAATGAGCTAAACAAAGTTTATTTACATATAAGAGATGGGGATTTTTCGTGGACATAAACTCCCATAATTAATTGTTTCCCAAATATAATATTTGAGAATAATCTCAATTAAAGATATTATATTTTTATTCATTTTATTATAAAAAGGAGATTGAGATTGTTCAACACAATATTCTGAGATTAATATCCTCCATTAAAAGGAATGTATACCAATGAATTATAAAGTGACTGTGTTAAACATAGATCATGATATATTGGGGACTAATTAGTTGTTTTTTTTTTTTTTTCAACATTTAGATCATTTAAAGCAAACTCACGCACACAACGCATACACGAAGACTCGAACCCAAGACTTCTTAGTTGGAAGCCTAAGCTCTCAATCAACAAACCAAGGTGAGCTGTGTGGGTGACTAATAATTAAGACTCACAAGAAATATGAATAAAGTGACATGTGACATTATCTAGACATCTTAAAGAGACCATTTTGAGAGAGTTCTACTGCGCAAAAAGATACCTTTTTTTTTTTTTTTTTTTGGAAAATGAGGGCAAAAAGCCCGTATTTACTATGTAAAAAGGATTACAAGTAAGGTATAATAAAAAGGTAAAACCTCAAACAAAAGAGAGGTCTTACCAAAAACCTATACCCCCCATACAGAAACGTGAAAAACAAAAAACAGCAAGAAAGAAAACAGCCGGCCAAACTGATGCTAATAAACCAAAATTGGACTCAGACTGCTAATTTATTAAACCGTCCAAAAACCAATCAAGCGACATGAAGAGTACTCTCCTGGTTGCCAAAAAGGCCGTCCAAGGAGAGGATTAGCAGCTACATCATCGTCCATTCTTTTGCGCCTCCAAAAACTTCAATCCAGCAAAGCTCCATTAGTCCATCCGAGTAAATAGCTGGGTTTCCGACAAAATTCCCAGAACATCTTGCAGGCATCCATACAAGCCACAATCCAAAATAACGTTCCAGGCAATGAGGATACGAAGAAGAATACCAAAATGACATTTCCCGATAGGATCAGGATAAGCCATCAAGCCAAAATGTCGCAAAAGCATATTCATTCACAGAAAGTTGCAGCAACACAAATATCTCCCGTCTCCAGCAAGGCATAGAAATGATGCAAATTATGGCTTCCAAGGGAATTTCAGATTCTCATTGTGCTTCCAGGTAGAGGATTTAGCCTCAACCGCATATTTAATAATATTGCAAAGAGTATTGACGTCTCTAAACTTGAAGTTAAACCTTCGTTCGTTTCTCTCCCTCCATAAATAGTAAGCAGCACATGAGGAAGTAAGTAAAAGTAACTCCTTTTGATGTTTAATCGTAATAGCCTTATCCCCCAAATATTGAAGAACTTGAGACAACCTAGGACGTAAAAGGAACTCTCCCAGCTCAGGAATTAAGTTACAAATGACAGAATATGCATAGTCACACTCAAAAAGAATGTGAGAATTGGTTTCATTGTGTGAAAAGCACAGCACAGTTGGGGGGAACCAATATAGATCTCCTTCTTAGTGCATCCGCAGTTTTCAGCCCCCCGTTTAGAGCAGTCCAAGAAAAAATGGAATATTTAATGGCTGAGTGTTTATGCCAAACAGATTGATATCAGTCAACAATTGCATCATTTTTGTAAAAATGCAAAAGGAAAGACGAAAAAAATAGGATTTTTCCTATCCTTCCAGTTAATAAAGTTCTTTGCATCAGGATTAATCCCCAAAGGCTCCAAGACATTTTTCAAGCCCTCAATATTAGAATACGGAAGATGCCAGCCATCCACATCCAGAAAATCTGTAACCTTGGCATAGTGACTGAAAATAACTTGCAGATTCAAATTCGGAAAAGCTTGAACCAAGGCATTACCGTGAAACCAAGGGTCCCATAATAAAGAAATTACACATTGAGGCATAAAATCAAAACAAATATCAGGTTTAATAATCAAGGCCACCTTGCCAATTTCGTTCCATAGAGGAGAAGGCCTGCTGAGCGCAGGAGTCCAGGGTGTGGCATATTTAGCATTCAAATAGTTGAAAAGAATGGATTTTGAATTGTAAAACCTGAAAAGCAGTGAGCTCATGGTGGCGAATTGAAGACCAATTAAATCAGGGATACCCAGCCCACCATTTAATTTAGGTTTACAAGTTCTCTTCCATGTGATAAGATGAAGCTTTTTGGCCTCAGGGTCCCCAAAGAACAAGAATTTGGCACATATTCTGCTAAGTGTTTTGATACAAGATTTGGGAATGATGGACCCTCTTATCCAATAGGCAATTGTATTGCAAACCGTATATTTAAGGAATTGTAGCCTTCCCCCCATGGATAATAATCTGGCTTTCCACCCAGCCAGGTGATTTGCAATTGAATGCATAAGGGGAAGAAAGTCATATTTAGAGCATTTCTTAACCGAGATAGGCAATCCAAGATAAGTCATCTTGACACAATAAGAGGGCATATGAAGAGCCTCACAAAAATCCATGGGATTAGAAATATAGCTAGAAATTATAATCTGACTCTTCTCATGGTTCACCAAAAGACCTGAAACTTTAGCAAAGATGTCAAGAATCTTTCTAAGAGCAGCACGGTTGTTAAGAGAAGCTTCCCCAAAGATTAGGAGATCGTCCGCATAAAGTAAGTGTGAAATGTTCACGCCATGTTTATGAAACCCAATGAAATTATCCTGATTGGAGTCATTATCAATCAAACAGGAAAAGACATCCATTGCAATGCAGAAGAGATAAGGGCTAAGGGGGCAGCCTTGCCTAATGCCATAGGATGAGTTAAAGTAGCCTTCCAATGCCCCGTCTATGCATATAGAAAAATGTACATCCAAAATGCAAGCCTTGACCCAATGAATAAAAGATGAAGGGAAGCCTTTTTGTTTCATTTTGGATAAAATAAAAGCCCTAGATACTGAATCAAAAGCCTTACGAATATCCAGCTTGGCACACATTAATTTGTTTTTGGCAGACTTTTTGAAATCAGAGAGGATTTCAGAAGCTAGAAGGATATTATCAGTAGCAATGCGTTTCTTGATAAAGCCAGCTTGATTGTTCCCAATGATAAAAGGCATGATTTCCTTCATTCTAGAAGCCAAAATTTTGGAAATAATCTTGTAGAAAACATTGCAGAGAGCAATGGGCCTATAGTCAGAAATGTTGGAAGCATGAGTGGATTTGGGAATCAAAGCGATGGCAGTAGCTTTGGCCATCTTTGGGAGGTACCCCTTTGAGAAAAAAGACTTCACTGCTTTGCACACCAAAGGGCCCGTAATAAGCCAAGTGGATTTATAAAACTCAAAGTTAAATCCATCCGGACCAGGAGAAGACTTGGAGCTCCCAAGAAAAATAGCTTCCTTAATCTCAACATCAGAAACATTAACCGTCAGCAAATGAGATAAATGTGATGGAATAACATTACCTTTGGGGATAGAGAAAGATTCCAATGTGTTTACTGGAGGGGTAGCATTGAACAATTTCTCAAAGTGTTGAGTAATAGAATTTATCAGATCTTGCCTAATGGTAGGGTCTTCACTAGCAACCAGAGTTGAGGAGCTATGGTTTCTTCTCTTCTTAAGCCTAGCATAAAGGAACTTTAAATCATCTTCTCCTTTAGAAAGCCATTTAAGTTTTGCTCTTTGAAGCAACCAATTTGTCCAAGACGCAGAGCAATCCGAAAGTTGAGAGTTGATAGATTTCAGTTTATAGTTGAGAGCAAGATTTTGAGGATCAATATTTAACATATCATAGCACTGAGATTGCTGCTCTTTAAGAAAAACAAGTTGATTGGAGAGAAAGCTAGAATTTGCCCAATCTTTATCCTTAATGCTCACTTTAAGCATTTTCAACTTTCTATACAGATCAAAGATGGGATTCCCATGTGTCGGTTGAGAAAAAATATTTAGGAGGTCGGCCCAAAAACCATTTTGTTTAGTCCAGTAATTTTTGAAAATGAATCTGTGCTTCAACATAACTTGCTGGTCTGAAAAAAGGACAATCGGGGAATGATCCAAGCATGAGGGAGAAAGGACCTCATAGTAAGTGGAAGGAAAAGCTTCAAGCCACTTATCATTTATCATCATTCTATCCAGCTTCAAGTGAATGGGGTCATTAGCCCTTTGATTAAACCATGTAAATTTAAGGCCCTTGGAGGCCAAATCCAGCAGCCCCAAGTCAAACTTAAGAGTATTAAAATCCCAAAGGAGGGTGGCCATGTCACGACCCGACCCGACGGGGACGGATCCCGCCCGAGCCGGATCCCGATCAGCTTAACAAACTAACCAGGATCTGGCTTTGGAATTTGTTTACTGAACTGAATCTTCCAAATATTATACAAAATAGACCAGAGCTACTAAAAATGTCAAATGCAGCGGAACAAATCGTCTATATGTTTCTTTCTTTTCCTCAAAACAATCATCTACAAATACAGTACATGGCTGACAGAAACCGATCGTCCCGGACGATCCAACTTCGTCCCGGACGAACCTGGAGCAGAACTGATATTACAGGCCAGGAGGAGTGCCACCGGATTTCTCGTCAGCATATAAGCAACAATTAAAATAGCCAAGAATGAGCCAAGGGGAACAGACGAGGTTCCCTATTTCTCTAAGTTTATCCCAAAGAAGTAAGCGGTCACCCGAAGAATTGGAAGCATGGACAACAGTGAGAACACAAAGATGGTCTTGCCCCCTGAAAATATCTCCAGAAATCAACTGAGTAGTGGAATGGGAAGGTCTGAAACTGAGGAGGAGCGGATTCCATTTAATCCAAATCCTACCCGAGGAAGATAGGTTAAAATTATGGCAGCTTTCCTCATTCTCAAAAACACAGTGGTTAAGACGAAACCAAGGGTCGGAGAAAGAGCTAGCACGAATTCTATTTTCCAGGACACAAAGTAACTCAAGTTTGCAGTCACGGACTAAGTCTTTGCATGCCCTAACCTTATCCGGGCTGTTGAAACCTCTCACATTCCAAGCCGCTAGACGAGGTGGGGTCATTGGGATTTTGAGGATTGACTAGGAGTTTTTTTAGTTTGCTTACTCCTAGAAGCCTTTGTTTGTGCAACAGTGCTATTTCGATTCTTTTCCGAATGCAGAGTAGTGGAAGGAGGAGGCTCAGACTCACTACTACTTTCTTAAAGAATATCAAATTTGTTAGGTGAAATCACTTTGTCTTGTTGCTGGATGATAGTAGAAGAAGACGGGATAGACTCCTCAGTTGGTGAATTTAGATTTGGGATAGTAATGAAAGTCGTCTCAGCAGTGTTGTTCAGTTGTTGGGTGGCTACCACAGTTGGAGTTGGAAAGTTGAGCTGCGGTTTTGATGGAGTTGGCTGAGTGGAAGACGCTGGGAGGTCAGAGATCTTCAGAGATGCAGCAGCAGTGGAGGAGGAGGGCATAGACATGGGATCAGATGCCTCAGATGATTGAACATTTTGTTGAGCAGCTAGTGGTTGCTTGGGTTTGAAATTGGGATTTCTGCCGATCGCCCGCGGGGGCTTCCGACTTTGAAAATCAGTATTTAAAGGTTCCGGCTTTGAAGAACAAAAATCCGGGGTATGCACAATAGATCCACAGTGTTCGCATTGTGCTGGTTTCCATTCATATTGGAAACGAAGAGAGAATGGCTCACCTAAAATGGTGATGGGGATAGACTCAGGATAAGTACATTCCTTTGATACCTGGACACAAACTCTGGCATACGTGAGCCTAGTTTTTCGGCTGTAAGATTGTCAACCGCAATCGGAGTACCGATCTTACTGGCAATCCGCGAAATTCCTTCCGGAGTCCAGCATGGAAGAGGTAAATCAAGGATTTTAAACCATATAGGGATAGATGTGAACTCTTCTCTCACAGGTTTGAAATTAGGAACCCATTTTTGAAGCACAAAAGGTTTGCCAAGGAAAAACCACACACCTCCGGATAAAGCCATATCATAGTCTTCATGCGCCGTGAATTTCAACATAAAGAACCCATCACTTAAAGAAAGCAGTTTCATCATACCTTTGAGCTTCCAAACCTTGCGGATAGCCGAAAGCAGGGATTCGTATACGGACGTCGCCCGAGAGAATAGCCAATCAACGCCAGTCCCCATTCATCCGAGGCTGCTTTGACATGGATTTCATTAAACTCCAAGGGATCATCAGGCAAGACCGAAGATGAAAGCTTAAAAGCATTCCCTGGGCAAGGTGAAGCCACAATATTGTTGTAGCTAAGGGGGGCGACAGCAGAGGGAGCGACACTCTTAGAGGATAGCGGAGGAGACTCCACGGAGGAAGAGAGGTTGGACATGGGGAGGGAAACTCCCCCGGCCAAGCCGAAGAGGAAGAAACAAGCACGGGAGGACGAAGATCGGCTAGGGAGAAAAAACCCTAGCAGAAAAAAAAAAAAAAAAGAGAGACCTTTTTTAAGAAAGCCTATAAAAATCATGTAATTTACAACAAATGGCTTCAACTCTCAGACTGTTCCCTAAAATCCTATTTAAAGATAAAAAATAAATAAACACAACTGAATTTTATCTCTCTCCCTCTCTCGTGTATCCTTTCCTCATCTCTCCTCAATAAGTGAGACGCAAACTTCTTAGTACCAAAATGGAACGACAATATCCCAATACTTTAAACACTCAAACCAAAATATAGATGCATATCAAAAAGGAGAATTTTGCCCAGAAGAAGTCGTTCCTGATGTTTAGCTATAGAACCGACTAATTCTATGTTAAGAAAAGTCTTGTGGGAAAAAGCAATGATATTTCAATTAATATTCTACGGAAGGCTTGATGTCGTTGTTGTAAACACTATACTAAAGATATCGTGCACATCCTCGCAAGGTGGCTTTGGTAAAGAGGAAGATGAGTAGACTGGAGAAGCATGTTTTTAGCAGCTTGAGTGGCTAACAAGTCCATAGCTAAATTGCCTTCTCTCAATGCTCTAATTGGATTAAATTTAATGGAGAAATCCATCTGAAAGAACAGCTTTCTCATATCAAAAGAAGTCTTAGCCTTCTTCAAGTAAAATAGCCAAATGGAAGAGAGACCGTCAGAAATTAACAGCAAACGAACAATTAGATGCACTTTCACAAGTAGAACACAATCACCATTTCCCAATAATCATCATATTGAGTGAACCTAACTCCAAAAAGAAAGAAGCTATGGCACTGACGTCTGTTGTTTCTTTCGTTGGCTCTGGTAAAGTTTACGTTCATTTCTCTTATTGATTCCAAGTCTGAACATTGAGCTTGCAGCTTGCTGGGAGTTAGTGGGAAATACAGAGCACCTTTGCTCACATTCAGTGGCCTTTCTTTTCAAGTATTTGGAGGTAAGTGCCTGAACTGTTTGTTAGTATCAAATATAGACATGAAGAATGGTTCATATAAGGAGCGATCAAAAAGACCCGTAATAAGCCAAGTGGATTTATAAAACTCAAAGTTAAATCCATCCAGGCCAGGAGAAGAGTTGGAGCTCCCAAGAAAAATAGCCTCCTTAATCTCATCATCAGAAACATTAACCGTCAGCAAATGAGATAAATGAGATGGAATAACATTACCTTTGGGAATAAATAAAGATTCCAAAGTATTTGCTGGAGGGGGAGCATTGAACAATTTCTCAAAGTGTTGAGTAATAGAATTTATCAGATCTTGCCTAATGGTAGGGTCTTCACTAGCAACCGGAGTTGCGGAGCTATGATTCCTTCTCTTCTTGAGCCTAGCATAAAGGAACTTTAAATCATCCTCTCCTTTAGTAAGCCATTTAAGTTTTGCTCTTTGAAGAAGCCAATTTGTCCAAGACTCAGAACAAACCGAAAGTTGAGATTTGATTGATTTCAGTTGATAGTTGAGATCAAGATTTTGAGGATCAATATTTAACATACCAAGGCACTGAGATTGCTGCTCTTTAAGAATAACAAGTTGATTGGAGAGAAAGCTAGAATTTGCCCAGTCTTTATCCTTAATGCTCACTTTAAGCATTTTCAATTTTCTATACAGATCAAAGATGGGGTTCCCGTGTGTCGGTAGAGAAAAAATATTTAGGAGGTCGACCCAAAAGCCATTTTGTTTAGTCCAGTAGTTTTTGAAAACGAATCTGTGTTTCAACATAGCTTGCTGATCTGAAAAAAGGATAATCGGGGAATGATCCGAGCAAGCGGGAGAAAGGGCCTCATAGTAAGTGGAAGGGAAAGCTTCAAGCCACTTATCATTTATCATCATTCTATCCAGCTTCAAGTGAATGGGGTCATTAGCCCTTTCATTAAACCAAGTAAATTTAAGGCCCTTGGAGGATAAATCCAACAACCCCAAGTCAAACTTAAGAGCATTAAAATCCCAGAGTTGGGTGGCCAGGAGAGGAGTGCCACCAGATTTCTCGTCAGCATATAAGCAACAATTAAAATCACCAAGAATGAGCCAAGGGGAGCAGATAAGATTCCCAATTTCTCTAAGTTTTTCCCAAAGAAGTAAGCGATCACCCAAAGAATTGGAAGCATAGACAACAGTGAGGACACAAAGATGTTCTTGCCCCCTGTAAAGATCACCAGAAATCAGCTGAGTAGTGTAATGGGAAGGTCTGAAACTGAGGAGGAGCGGATTCCATTTAATCCAAATCCTACCCGAGGAAGATAGGTTAAAATTATGGCAGCTTTCCTCATTCTCAAAAACACAGTGGTTAAGACGAAACCAGGGGTCGGAAAAAGAGCTTGCATGAATTCTATTTTCCAGGACACAAAGTAACTCAAGTTTGCGGTCACGAACTAAGTCTTTGCACGCCCTGACCTTTTCCGGGCTGTTGAAACCTCTCACATTCCAAGCCGCTAGACGAGGTGGGATCATTGGGATTTTGAGGATTTGCTAGGAGTTTTTTTAGTTTGCTTACTCCTAGAAGCCTTTGATTGTGCAACAGTGCTATTTCGGTTCTTTTCCGTATGCAGAGTAGTGGAAGGAGGAGGCTCAGACTCACTACTACTTTCTTGAAGAATAGCAAACTTGTTAGGTGAAATCACTTTGTCTTGTTGCTGGATGGTAGTAGAAGAAGACGGGATAGACTCCTCAGTTGGTGAATTTAGATTTGGGATAGCAATGAAAGCTGTCCCAGCAGAATTGTTCAGTTGTTGGGTAACTACCACAGTCGGGGTTGGGATGTTGGGCTGCGTTTTAGTGGAAGTTGGCTGAGTGGAAGGCCCTGGGAGGTCAGAGATCTTCAGAGATGCATCAGCAATGAAGGTGGAGGACTTAAACATGGGGTCAGATGCCTCCATTGATTGAACAATTTGTTGAGCAGCTAGAGATTGCTTGGGCTCGAAATTGGAGTTTCTACCGGTCGCCCGCGGAGGCTTCCGGCTAGTGCTTCTACCTCGTGGCGGTTGAACATCAGTTTTTGAAGGTTGCGGTTTTGATGGACAAAAATCCGGGGTATGCACAATAGATCCACAGTGCTCGCATTGTTCTGGTTTCCATTCGTATTGGATACGAAGAGAGAATGGCTCACCTAAAATGGTTATGGGGATGAACTCAGGATAAGAACATTCCTTTGATACCTGGACACAAACTCTGGCGTACGTGAGCCTAGTTTTTTCGGCTGTAAGATCGTCAACCGCAATCGGAGTTCCGATCTTACTGGCAATCCGCGAAATTCCTTCCGGAGTCCAGCAAGGAAGAGGTAAATCAAGGATTTTAAACCATATAGGGATAGATGTGAACTCCTCTCTCACAGGTTTGAAATTAGGAACCCATTTTTGGAGCACAAACGGCTTACCAAGGAAAAACCACACCCCTCCAGATAAGGCCATATCATAGTCTTTATGCGTCGTGAATTTCAACATAAAGAACCCATCGCTTAAAGAAAGCAGTTTCATCATACCTTTGAGCTTCCAAACCTTGCGGATAGCCAAAAGTAGGGATTCGTAATACGGACGTCGTCCGAGCGAATAGCCTATCAACGCCAGTCCCCATTCATCCGAAGCTGCTTTGACATGGATTTCATTAAACTCCAAGGGATCATCAGGCAAGACCGAAGATGAAAGCTTAAAAGCATTCCCTGGGCGAGGAGAAGCCACAATATTGCTGTAGCTAAGAGGGGCGACAGCAGAGGGAACAACACTCTTAGAGGATAGTGGAGGGAACTCCACGGAGGAAGAGAGGTTGGCCATGGGGAGGGAAGCTCCCCCGGCCAAGCCGAAGAGGGGAGAACAAGCACGGGAGGACGAAGATCGGCTAGGGAGAAAAAAACCCTAGCAGCCGGGAAAAAAATTGAACTGTGAAATTAAAAGATATTGAAACAGATTGCCTAATTAAGAAGGACTACCAGCAAATGCATCGTCCGTCTCTTTTCTATTCCCACGCAACATAAGCCACATACTTATAAATACCCAACCTCTGCAATGATTTTCCACCGAAAATCATGTAATTTACAACAAATGGCTTCAACTCTCAGACTGTTCCCTAAAATCCTATTTAAAGATAAAAAATAAATAAACACAACTGAATTTTATCTCTCTCCCTCTCTCGTGTATCCTTTCCTCATCTCTCCTCAATAAGTGAGACGCAAACTTCTTAGTACCAAAATGGAACGACAATATCCCAATACTTTAAACACTCAAACCAAAATATAGATGCATATCAAAAAGGAGAATTTTGCCCAGAAGAAGTCGTTCCTGATGTTTAGCTATAGAACCGACTAATTCTATGTTAAGAAAAGTCTTGTGGGAAAAAGCAATGATATTTCAATTAATATTCTACGGAAGGCTTGATGTCGTTGTTGTAAACACTATACTAAAGATATCGTGCACATCCTCGCAAGGTGGCTTTGGTAAAGAGGAAGATGAGTAGACTGGAGAAGCATGTTTTTAGCAGCTTGAGTGGCTAACAAGTCCATAGCTAAATTGCCTTCTCTCAATGCTCTAATTGGATTAAATTTAATGGAGAAATCCATCTGAAAGAACAGCTTTCTCATATCAAAAGAAGTCTTAGCCTTCTTCAAGTAAAATAGCCAAATGGAAGAGAGACCGTCAGAAATTAACAGCAAACGAACAATTAGATGCACTTTCACAAGTAGAACACAATCACCATTTCCCAATAATCATCATATTGAGTGAACCTAACTCCAAAAAGAAAGAAGCTATGGCACTGACGTCTGTTGTTTCTTTCGTTGGCTCTGGTAAAGTTTACGTTCATTTCTCTTATTGATTCCAAGTCTGAACATTGAGCTTGCAGCTTGCTGGGAGTTAGTGGGAAATACAGAGCACCTTTGCTCACATTCAGTGGCCTTTCTTTTCAAGTATTTGGAGGTAAGTGCCTGAACTGTTTGTTAGCATCAAGTATAGACATGAAGAATGGTTCATATAAGGAGCGATCAAAAAGAATTTGTTAGCATAATATTGATTTTCTAGGAAGAAAGAAAACAAATTACTAGACCCAAAAAAATATATATATGAAGGGTTTGAGATCCAGTTAACATGCTTGATACAGTTGTGTTCGTGCAATTGGTGGAAATTTGGAGGGAAAAAGAGTGGAAGAAGCATAAGAGCCTCCTCCAAATTTTAAAGCTCCTGTACATAAATCTTCTCCTTTGGGCAAAAATATAACTAAAATTTCACCGACAGACTAAGGAGGAAAATTAACTCAAGTCTTAGAGAGGTGACGTCAGGATAGACTACAATGTCACAAATAGAGAAGAGGGGAAGTACGGGTTAGGAAGAAATGTGGTGATGGTGTCGGTGGATGAAATTACAATATATATAATAACTTTTTGGGGTTGTTTGGCTATCAGTAGAATTTAACAAAAATAAGATTTAGTAAATCCTATAAACTTGAATTTAGTAAATTCTAAGATAGTTAAATCTTGGAAATTGGTTTACATGAAAGAAGTTAAATTCAATTAAATCTTGGCATGACATTATTATTCCCTCAACGTCATCATTTACAATGAACATCCTCAAAGAGCCATTTTCTCATATATTCAAACAATACAATAGGTAATCTTATCAATTTTTATACGATGATAACACTACATATAGTCTCGAATGTCGCCAAGTGCATAATCCTTCTAACATCTTTGAAGGATGTCGAGCTTCATTAATTTTTGTCAAAATCTCAGTCATCCCTTTGCACGTAATCTCACGGTCGGGATGGGAGACTCACCTGGATCACGTCAATCTCCTTCTATATTTGGGTAGCTGAATTAGGAAGGATTATATTGAGGCAATTATGTATCAAATAGAAGTTATTTGTTTCTTTATTACGACATCTTGTATATATCTATAAATAGGGATAATTTTGTATAATAATAAGAAGCATATTTTTTCCCTCTAAAATTTTATGAATTCTAACAATTCTCAAAGTTATGCCTTCAAGCATTGCGTCTGACAAAGAATTTAGAAACTAGCTCTTTGCCGAATTCTAAAGTTTTCAGAGTGTAAACCCTTTATTATATTAAGATAAATATAATAAACCCTTCTCATTTCCCCTACAATTTAATTGAAGGGGAAATGAGAAGGCAGGAAAAAATACCCTCCTTAAGGGATGATCAAAGCCATACATGGAGTAATAATCAAGGAGGTCACAATGAAAATTCTCATTCATGGAGCATGACGCAACTAACACTACAAAAAGGCAAGCTTATCTTGTAGAATACTTCCCTACAAATATCGTTGGTCATATAATTAACATAGGAGTTCGAGTAACACTAATCAGACACAAAGGGCCTATAACCCTACTAAACAAACACTAGTAGTAGACCTACCAGAATAAACTATTAAGTCGTTGAACACTTCCTAGTAGATCTATGACAAACAAGGCACTAACTGATAACACCTCTCAATCAAATAGGCCCAACTCAATAATATCTCATACCATTTCATTTGGTTAGGCAAGCAACTTAGGTGTGACAACTCAAAAATCCTCCTAATATGATCGAATAAACTAAACCTGACCAAGCATGAGATGTTTGAAAATAGTACAAATGTCATCTAGTCATAAAGCAGACCCCCCTAGCTGACAATGTAATTGGTTGACTCATCTATATCATTGGCTAGCCACGTGAAAGTACAAAATATTCATTTTAGAAAAAAAAAAAAAAAAAAAACTTTAGTTACTAATCCCAAAAGACTCTAAGAAGTTGACTAAGTATGGCCAATCCAAGGGGTGAACTATCCTAACTAATTGACACCACAACCCAACCGACCTCCCTATGAAAATTTGAAATGATAGACCCTACTTGAATAGAGATTAGGAATACAACATTAGAAGTTATAAGGAGAACGGAAGAGGACAAGTGCCTCAATATAAAGCCAATTGAGCTTCTATTATACACAAGTGGTGACACAAGCCCTACATGCAATAAAAGATGCCATGAATACTATGCAAAATTATTTAATTTTTTTCCTTTAAATAAATTAAATTTCATCCGTTGATCCAAATCAAATTTGAAAAACAGCAAAGTTCTACTTTAAACAAAACAAAATCACTGACTAACTCATTTTATCGTCATATGAGTTTGTATGTTAACAGATGATAAATTTTGGTCCTGCTACAGAGAGGATGCATTATCTTTTGTTTGTCTAAGCTTGAATAGCGACTGCAAAATTTAGGACATGTCAAGGAAAGTTAAATAGTAGGGGCAAACTAAACTAGAAAAAGTGCACACCGGAACTTGATGAAATCATTGCAGAAGCTTCATCTTTGAGTTTTCTAATTTTATCAACAATGTTATCTTTCAGAAAGTAATCACCAGTATTTCCATCTGCATTAAGTTCAGACTGAAAGCATGAAAGTGCATTGTCAAATCCCTACAGAAAACAGAAAACCAAAAAGATATCATTTGGTTTTGGTAACGAAATAACAGCTCTAACTTCAAAACTCAAAAGCCATCAACAAATATGAGTGGACAAGATCCAAGAAAATAATAAATTAAAGTGTATCAAACCACCTCCTCTCATAGTGAAGAAATATGGGACTTTGAAGGAGAATTTGGTTATTGTTTCCATCTAACAATAAGCTATAGTTTATATTGTTCAAATTAGGACCTCTATCGCATGGCAGTTAAAGAACATGCCCTTGTTTTTTAACATCACAAGTGTTTGTCAATGTTTTGATTTCAACACAGCAGATTAAAACCCTAAGGGTTGTTTAGCCCTATACATTGAGATATCGCCAAAACCTTATTCTTTAAACATTCTCAAAACAAAAAAAAAAAAGGTTCGGACGAGAAGGGTAAAAGTTCATGTCAGTCTTTTTGGGCATAACGAGTCATTCTGCCTTGGCTTTTGATTTAAACTATAAGATTGAAATCTGATGGCCATTTTTAGCATTAAAATTTGAGGATATTCCATGAGAATTTGATGTGGTGTATCTTTGAGAAGAAGAGGATGCAAGAACGTAGACCCAAATTGAGGAACAAACCAAGCTCAAAAGTTAATAATATTATTTCATATCCCACTTCCTATTACAATTAATATATGTATAATCTATTCTTAGAATATTCTAGAAAGTTTCTAGAAATGAGTACAAAAAGAAATATAATATATGAAGGCATGATTTAAGTAAGATGTTCCACATAATACTCTCCTAGCGCAAGAAGAGCTCGACTTGGTCGTGGCACTTCATTGGGAGGGAGGTAGATGTAGACATCAAAATCAATTCTCCTAGGTCGAAGATTTGCATGTGAGAGACATGTTCTGTGATTTGGCGATCAAATTCAGGATCCTTTTGAACAAACAACCAACAATTCTTTCTACAAGCTCCACATCTCCATGCATTATGAGAGCACCAAGCAATGCTTCCCAAACTAAAGAATCGGGCTGTATTGGAATCCTCAGTATCAAATCCATGACCTCTTGGACTAACCTAGTGATGGGGACTTCAAGGCATGGAAGGTTTATCATAGAAGGGGCCGTAGATCAACGGTCACGATTGAGTAGTTATATTATTAGTTGTAGTGTGTGTTGTATGTAATTTAGTTTAGTTTGAGAACTTGAATGAATTCTGATTTCAGCCCTCTTCTCTTGTGTGAGAGTGAGTTGGTGAAGCCATAGGAGAAGGCAAATGAAGTACCCAACAATCCATTAAGGTGAGTTCTTGATTTCCCCCCTTGCATCTCTTCCCCTTTTCCTCCTTCCTCCCTAGTCGCCGATCAACCCCCCACTCTTGAAACTCTCCATGTTAATTAATGTGAAGTTGACCCATTAATTACAAAGTTCACTTTAACTTTTCCCTTTTTCAAAACTATTTTTCCATTTTCCAACCCCACTCTCTCCCATTCCCCTAAGCCCTACCACACTAATTAACCTCATACAATTCTAAATCTCCACTAAATAGCAAAAAATGTGGCCTCCCTCCTCCTTTCAGATTCCGGCCAGCATCTCTTCTTCTCCACTGTGAAGCAAGATACAAGGAAGGTACTACGGAGCAACCCTTTGAAGATCAATCAGCCGAGACCACACCACATCTAAAGGAAGCTTCTCTGTGATGCAAATAGCTAAATCTTTCTACTCTTACTTCATACACTTAAGTAGACATTTTTTAAGTCCAATCCTTTGTAGCATCACTATTTTCATGATAATTTAAATCAATTAGCTTCTTAAATCATTGAATGTATGGTTCTTGTAATGACTAATCTATGTTAAATGTTGGATTTTTTCGCCAACCAATGTTAGCTAAGTTATTGATTTAATTTATCCTTCTTGAATTCTAGAAATTTGGTTGTGGTTAATTGTTATTTGTGGATTGCCTTTCTTACTTGTTTTGAAGCTTGTTTTACACATCCCCATGATTAATAGCTTGTTGATTTTAAATTCAACTTGTGTTTAATTTTATAATGCAAGTCTTCGTATGCTACTCCTACATCACCAAGCTCGGCCTAGAGCATCAACTAGACAGCTCGATCTCCAGCTCAATTTCATATTCTTTGTTTATTAATTTGAGATAGTTGGGTGCCTCTTCAACCATCCCTGAATGGTTACAAGTTGTTAGAGCACTTATGAAGCTAACATTGTCAGGCCTTAAACCAGAAGAATTATGAGGCCTTGTGAATAATTGAATTGTCTCATTTCCTTGGCTATGAGTGGCTAAGCCAATAATCACAGAGTTCCATGAGGACAAACTTTTCTCAGAAGCATTTTCAAAGGCTTTCAAGAGCATCAACTATGCTTCCACACTAACAATACATATCTATAATAGCTATGATCACTATTGGATTGTTTGAAACCTTCATCTTTTTTTATGAGAGAATGAATCCATTTCCCCTGTTCCAAAGCTCCCAAATTAGAGCAAGCGACTAACAGACTAACCATGATATGTTCATTAGGCTTCACTCCTTGTCGCTGCATTCGTTGGAATAGATCAAAAGCCTCATTGCTTCTCCCATCCTAACATAGCCAGATATCATGGAGCTCCAAGTGATCACAGTTCTTGTAGGCTTTCATAAAAAAACTTCCTTGCAGAAATCATGCCGCTTGATTCCAAAAAAAATATTAATCATAGTATTGAATGTTGCAGAGTCATATTCAAGCCAAGATTTTGTTTCACAAGGAGAACAGAGCTCCTTATCAAGAAACAATGGTTCTACTTTCCAAGTGCCTTCAAATCATTTCATAAATCCTGATTGAATTTGATAGTTTAATTCGGAAACCTCTTCACCTCCAATTCAAGCCTTTCCAATTTCCCTTCTCTTCCACCAACTTTCTCAAGAAAGCCATTAGCATTGCTCTTCAGAACATCCACTTGAGAACGAAGTGATTCATTAGAGGATCCGAGAGACAATCGATTCGTGATGTACGCGATGGCGTCGCCGAGCAGGGAGGCCTTATCCAGCTTGGACATATTGTGCACCATAGCTCGGAGTACGTAGTATAATTGATTAAGCTTCTCTCGCCGCTTCCGCTCTGCTTCAACATGGTTGAGAGGCTCCTCCTGGTCATTCGCCGTCTACCGATTCCCAGCAATAACAGCAGCAGGAATGAACTGAGCTGGAAGGGAGCTGCCGGTATGCTAGTTTGGGGCTGAACTTTGCTGCAACTGAGAGATCTAATACAATGGGACTTGTCCACAAACACCAGGAGTGCCCAGATAAGAAGCTTGGAGGTCAAGGATGACTGAATTTAGGAGATCACCACATCTGCTATCTGACTTGGTAACCACATTCACATTCTCCGATAAATTGATGGCCAAATCTTTGCAATCACTCAAAGGCATAACGCCATCCACACTCGAAATGTTCATATTACATTCACTGAGCAGCTTGGGAACATCAGCTGGTAGTTCGAGCGGGGGCGCCTGCTCGAACAATCTCCCAGTCCAGGATGATTGAAGCCTCAACGCACGCCGCCTTGACTTCATCCTCATCGCAATCAGCATCATACACATCCATGTCAACAACCAAATTGCCGTGAATGGAACCCAGAGGGATTAGGACGATGCCAACTTGTAGAACAAAGCCCTGCTCCCCAATAATTGCATGACTAAAGGAAGAGGCGTCAGCCTTGGCATCCCGATCGGATTTCACGCAATCGGGGCAATTCGATGGACTAGATTCCCACTGAAACAGGCATTCGACGCAGCATCAAAAGGCAACCAAAAGACTTCATGGCTTCGATCGTCATCAACAATCCATTTTCTTCAGCATCAATCAATCGTCGACAACCCATCTTCTTCGCCTTCGATCGTCGTAGCTGATCTTCTTCTGCAATCCCTCATTCTTGGTGAGCTCCAGATTCAAATACCAACTGATGTAGTAGATTTTTTAGGAGAAGATGATGCAAGAAGGGAGCCCCAAATTGGGGAACAAACCAAGCTCAAAAGTTAATAATATTCTTTCATATACCCCTTCCTATTACAATCAATATACATAATATATTCTTTGAATATTCTAGAAAGTTCTAGAAATGAGTACAAAAACAAATATAATATTCTAAGACATGATTTAACTAAGACGTTCCACTTCAGAATTTTTATAAAAAATGTTGCCAACATGAAACTTGAACATGAATTTTTAATTCCTCAAATACATGACTTCAACATAAACAAGATTGTAAAGAAGACTGTCTTCAGCAGCTATTTATCGTATACATGAAACAAATTCATGATATAACAGAAAAACAAAAAGAACTAATAATAACTTTAGCAGTAAAAGTGTTCCAAGTTATGTATTTAAAAAAAAAAAGACTACGATGCCAATTATTTGCCAAACAAACTAATGAGCTTAAAATGACAAACATTTACCTTAACAGCTATTGCGTAATATCCATTATACAATGAATTCTTTGCAAAGTTATACCATTCCTGATATGAAACTCGAAAACCATTATTATTGTAATACTTGGTCTCCCTCAGAACTAACGCCTCATACTTAAGAGCCAAGCAACTCTGCAAAGAAGCGTGCATGGCATAAAGTACAAAACCATAAACAATTGAATTAATGTGCAAATCAAAACATAATGAATGTTTTCTCGTTAGAAACCAAAAATGTGCGAGAATAAGCAAAGCCAATTAATGAGGATGCATAAAAATGCTTGGATGAACATAAAAAATCTTGTTACATATCAAAACTATTAAAGAGCATCCAAACAATCAATTAGTACAGATTAAATGCAACCTGGTTGTAATAAATTGTTCATAAATTGACATCAGAAGAAGAAAGATGTTCTTCAATAGACTTATCAGTTTAAAATTATAGAACAAGGAAGTGCTGGTATCACCGAATGAGTGCTTGATGGTGCAAGAGGAACTCTGGACAGGTACAGCCAACAACACAACAACAACAACATCAAGCCTTTGTATCACTATGTGGGGTCAGCTACATGAATCTTTTTCATCATTGTGGCCTGTTAAAAGTCAAATTCTCATTTAAATCTAACAAAGAAAGATCATTTCTAATATTGTTTAACCAAGTCTTTTTAGGTCTGTTGTACCTTTCTTTAACATAAGTCAAATCTAATACCTCAACTTTCCTAACCGGATCATCGGAAGGCCTCCGTTTAATGTGACCAAACCATCTAAGGAGACTCTCTCTAATCTTATATTCCACTGGAGCTACTCCAAACTTTTCACGTATATGCTCATTGCGTATCCTATCTTATCTCTAAGGGTAAAGCCCTCATCCAGCTAAGCATCCTCAGAACTAGTACAAATTTTCACCTCTGCACCGCCTATGCAATTCTATCGGACCTGGGGTTTGTAAGGGTTTCTGAGGTTATCTTTGCTGTCTTCCATATCTGTTTCCATGTCTATCACAATCAAGACTACCCATTACATCTTCTCTGATAAACTATCGTAGAGGGGTAAGGGGTTAGACCTCTCAGCCATGTGATTCTGTGAACTTCACTTATTTGTCTTACATAGATATTTTAATGTTATTGTCAAAATTTTAGCAATATCATCATTTCCAACCAGATGAAAAACTCATATCAACTAGAACTATAAGAAGAACAGTATTTCTCCTTAGGCGCCTAATCATGTATTTTTCCTAAGCAAAACTACCAAAACAAAATACAAAAGTTTTCAACCATTGGAAAATTAAAGTTCCATAGTTCGATCCGCAAGATGGCATCCAACCCTATAATCAGTTAATTTTTTTCTAGACACTTACTTCCACGTCTCCTACAAGCGCGAACGCTTTGACGAAGAACTCGGCTACGTTGAGCTTCTCATCAACGGTCTTTGCAGCGATTCTATCCATTACGGACTTGGCATGCAATCGTAGAAACTCTTGGAGGCTCGACCTAATTTCAAGCAGGGCTCGCACGTCTTTGGCGACGAGAACCGATTCAAGGATTTGGAGACTTACATCGCTGAAACTGGAAAAAACATCGATGGGATCTTCGGGGAAAATAGTTCAAGAGAATAATGAATCAGGCATATTGGAGAGCAAAGTTACCTCCCGTCTTCAATCTGGGAGCGGAATAGGGATGTCGTTTCTGCAATAACCTCGGGCATTTTGAATTGGCTCAGAGGTGAAGCGACGATGACTCAGTTACTGCAAACTGAATGTACTCTACGTATTTATAGGTGAGATTTGGATTTGCATTTTAGGCCGTTTGGCTGGATTTCGCCAAAATCCGGCCTTAAATCCGCCTAAATCCGCATACCAAACAGCCCCTAAGGGGCAGCATTGGCAACTGCAACTAGGATTTAATAAATCTGGATATATTAGATCCTGAAAAATGTTTAACAAGCTGAGTGTTAAATCGTGTAAAATTATTTGATAATATAATTTAATATTCAAGGTGATTAATTCATTAAAAATGTAAATTATATTTACATTTTAAATATAATTTGTTTGCTAAATACGAATTATTTATTAATTTTAATTGTAATTATCGTTAAAAATTTATAATGATAAATAATTATCAAATTATTTAATTAATAATCTAATTATGTATTTAGCATTTAATTTAATAAGTAGTTAATTACTAATTATATTGATAATTATCTAATTAATTATTTAATTATCATTTGAAATAACTAATTATTTTCTTATATCCACTATTAAGTATATGATTAATTTAATTAAGTGGAATTTACTTGGTTTTAAATTATTAATTATCTAATTAATCACTTAAGTACTGCATTACTGATTAAGTATTCAATTATTATTTATACTATTAACTATATAACTGATTATTTTTATTTCAAAGTTAATTAATTAAGCTAATTAAATTAATTCATAGGATTTGCTTCAACTTGTTGTGATTCATTGCTTCTTCGCTATCATGGGCGGATCCCTCATGTACCCTTGCCCACCCTCAAAAAATATATTAAATATTTAGAGGGGATATTTTAGAATATTTTGAGTATTTTGGATATTTTGCCCCCCTTCAAAAAAAAATTTTACTCTAATTTTATCAATCATAAGCGTCTTTGTTCATCCCCTTAAAAAAAAAATATTTATTTGCCCACTCTAAAAAAAGAAGCCATCCGCCCCTATATGCCGTTATTGTTTCAGCATGCTTCGTTGCGGCTACGTACTTTCATTGTTTTAGTTTTGCGTGCAACATGGAAAGTTGAGTTTTGAAATAGTCGCTAATGAAGCTTGGCACTCTTAGACGGTGCTGCTCCTATTAAAATTCAGGACAAGAGCTCGCTCCACAAGTATACATCTTTCTCACTTTTTACATGCTTCTTCATCGTAATACCATGAATCCATCGAACTCTCGGATTTAATAAGTCCAAGATTTATGCCAAAAACAAAGTAACAACAAATTTATCACTTCGTGAGATTTATAGGATACTTAAATTCTCTCCTATATTTTCTCTTATTTCTCTCAAACCCCTTCTTTTTGATATTTTCCTTTTGAACAATAATATAATATTAATATTATAATTATTTTTCAATATAAAATTCATATAAATATATATTGAGCTTAAAAAATTATAGAAAACTTGAGGAAACAGATTTGTAAAACAGGCACCTGATGGTCCCAAAACTCCCACTTATACTGTAAGGTGTCAATTTATTCGGGAATTTATAAATGCCCAAAAATTATAAAAAAATAAATATGAAATTAAAACACAATAAAAGATATGTAATGGTGAAAATAGTTTGTGATATGGATATATAATGACTCCTGAATAATTTCTTTATTGTTGTAGCTAAAAATGCATTTTTCAAATTTTTAGTTATAACACACTCTCTCTTCTTTCTTTCACCTTTCTCTCCTCTTTCTTCCCGGCAAGATAAGCACTGAAGGGGATGGATGATTGTATGATAGTTTAATGTAAGTGGCTTTAAATATATAATTTTATATAAAAACGAAGTTTCATGTCAAAATGACGCTACACCAAATTAACTCTCCAACAAATTTGAGAGCTCAAAAGCAAGGGCACCACTTCTCCAGCGCCTCAGTGCTCTTAACACTGTAATGCTCTCACGAATAGAAATTCATAGAATTTAGAGAAATTAGATTGAGGGTTATTACAATCTATTCACCTTAAAAAAATATCGTCCTCGATATTTTTCATCAATCATATCAATCATTCATAGAATCATACAGTCATTCCTTCACATGTTTGAATGACAATCAATCATATATAGCGTGCTATTCAATGCATTTCAATAAATAATAATAATATTTGAAAAAGAACTTATACTAGTGGACCTTTCAGATGTGTCTCTCACTTTCTACTAACTAAAACTATATACTCTCAATTATACTGGAGGTTCTATCATCGCTAATTATGTAGGTCGTCTTTGTCTCTCACTCATATTCCTTCCATCTACAACGCTCATGGATCTTTAACTAGATATTCTAGATCCTACCATTCTTTGTCTGCATACCTGTCTAGACTTATATGTCATGGATCTACATCTCTCTCCACCATATTACCTCTACAAAAAATCAATCATTATGCATATCTAATTTTGGGGCTTAGGATATCTATTGATCCATCCAATACAAATATAATGTTCCAACATGGATCTTAAAGACATTATGATTTGACTCTCCGCCCTTTGATCAACTTAAGAAAGACCAAAATTATCTCGCAGTCAATACCCATTTTTGTCAAAAATGAACCATGAGTTGACATGACTTTTTTATCTCTCATATCCTTGTTGCTAGTGCACTAGAAAATCTTTCATCCAAATATCTATAAATATCCCTTGAATGGGAAAGGTAGAGGACTCCCAATTCTCACATTTTCATCAAGTAGTCAAAATCTTATTAAATTTATTTCAGCTCCTTTTCAACATCAAGTTTAGCCATTGACTCAAGCATCGAAGAGTCTTCATGAAGACAATATCTGAATTGGCCTATTAAAGGTAAGGACTCTTCAACCTCAAATTATATGAATGATACAATGTCATATTTAGATTATAGATCATTTCAGGCACATAGTAATTATAAATCCTAAGCTATTAATTATGATTATTTCAATCTTATTTTATTTCTTAGTCAAATTTTGAGCATTCAATCATGACATAAATTAGCTATGATCGTGTTCAAACAGCTAAGTACAACTTTAAAACAACCCAAAAAGTAATAGATATGATATTTACTTTTAAACATAACAGCCATAAAAATAATAAAAAAACTACCAAAAATAAAAGACGCATCTTCTAAAACTTACAATTTTTTTTTTTTTTTTTTTTTGCTAGGTGAGTGAACGAATTTGCTCCATCTAGATTTTCATATTTATTTTCAACCAATGTGTTATAAGTTTCAATGCAATACTTTCTAAATTTTTAAATATGGGAATGGATCATTAGGAGTTGCACCAACTATCATTATCATTTTAACTGCACTAATAACATCATGAATGATTGAGATTAAGATTATGTTTAGGACGATTTTTTATTGTTTCTTAAAACAATTTTTTAATACAAAAATTTTAATTTTTATACTAAAAAGTTGCTTTAAGAAGCAGTAATTAAGAAAGACTTGGACGGCTTTCTTACTGCTTCTTAACTTTTTTATAAAAAAAATAATTTTTAATTAAAAATTTACTTTATGAATCAATCAAAAAAGTCTAACCAAACAAAACATAAATTTATCTTATTTTATTTAAATTACTTTCTATAATTAATTCAGTATCAATCATTAAAAAAAATGGAAGAATATAAGGAATTTCTACAATGAGATATAAGTGCGCTTTAATTACCACTAAAATTGAAATTTTCTCATTTAGGATATTCTTATTAAAATTTGATTTAAATAATTCAGATAAAATGAAATCTAAAAAATAATGCCACCGAAATCATAAATCCACATAAAACATATCAAATACACTAAAATAATAACAACACCCCAAATAAAAAGGCCCAGATTCGCTACAAGTCATGTACCAAAAAAAACACAAGGCAAAATTTTGGAAGGATGATGTTTGATGAAGCATTTAGGAGAATGATCATGTTATTAAATAAATTTAAAAAAGATCAAAAAAAAAAAATTGTGTCTTGAAGAAAACGTGATCTAAGTTTGCATTTTATGAAGAACATGCAAAGTGTTTTTGCATTTTCTTCTAAAACTTAAATCTGCTTCACGTCTTCTTGAAATTGCTCTCTCATCTTCAAACATAATCCTTCCAAAAAATTGCCCAAAAAACAATTCCAAGTTAAAATATTTTGCTAGGCGTCAGTTTATTCTGATAAAGACTTTTATTAATTTGATTGATCGCCGGTAAATTATTATTTAATTATTTTTTCGATTTGTCCAGACGCACTAGCTAGCTTTCATTACCCCTATCCACGTGCCTAATTAGAGTGTCGATGTGAAGGGCTTGATTTGAAGCGATAGCAATTTTCAATAATTTTATTAACGGGCTACAGCCACATCGCCTTGTCGTCATCGTGGTTACCGATAAATTATTCTGTGCAAAATGCAAACAACTGAATGTAGTCTGGCTCATCCCTCTTTTTTTTTTTTTTTCTTTTTTAATATTGATGGATATCGGGTTATTTTGATTGGTCTCCAATTTTTTAATGTCCATTCAAATTTTATTTGAGATAATTTTTTTATTATTTTTATAGTAATTTTTAATACAAGAATTTTTATTTAAAAAATATTTGTACTAAAAAATTACTTTATAAAATATTAAAAAATTGTCTCAAATGAAACATTAAGCTGATTGGATGACTACCATGTTATAGGTTGGTATTTTATTAGACTTGGTGAGAACTCCCTTATTTGCATAGCCTCCGGTACTACAAAGAAGCTTCTTCCACTCCTATACTGAGCTTATAAGTCCAAATGTTGATGGTTGGCATGTGTTGAAAAGTAGAGCAAAGAAGGCTATTCAGGGTCTTATTAAATCAAAAGAGAGAAATAAACATAGATGGAACCCAACTCGTCATCTTCATTGTGAAGAGTTAGGATAGATAATAGTGAACGAATTTGTTGCTAACTATGTGGCCGGGGATGACGATATGTTGAATGGAAGTAGGATGTAGGGTCTAAAGTAGCCAACAAACATGCACAAGTCACCTCTATCGAGGAATTATTGTGTGAAACTTGACATCCAACATTTTAATGTCACCCTCATCGAGAATAGATTGTGATAGTGCCTTCTATA